GCCGGCCCCTGGCTCCGAGGCCCGCTCCCCCGGCTGCCCCTCTCCTGTCAGGGCGCCGCTCCGCTCCGCGCCGGCTCCTCCCTCGCTCCTCCCCCGCTCTTCCCGCGGGCCTCCTCGCCCCCTTTTCGGGTTTACTGCACCCAGTTTTTGCCTCGTTCCTTATTGGTTCTTTTCCATCGCACAAAGCGAGGGGCGAGCGCCTCGGGCCCCAGCATCCTGTTACAGTCGGCCTCGCAGGCAGGGTCCGCGGGGGACGCCGCGGTGGGGCTCCCCAGAGAACTTTCTGAAACTCGAGCGAGTCGCAGCACACAATCTTAACCCTTTCCTCGCACGTCCACCGCTCAGATCCACTCAGACCGACGTAGGTTTCTTTCACCTCAGCAAGCTAGGGACTGCGAGTGCAGAGAATTTGTGTGCGTGTGGTGCTTCTGACTCCCCCTTGTAAAGGCAAGCAATATAAAGCACAGTGCAACGTTGTTCTAAAACTGTTTAACTCCTAGTTTTCTTGCCTTTGTTTTAATTTTTTTACAGAAGGCATTTAACATCAGGCAGGAGGATGTCGCTGCACAGCAAGCGGTTGCATCGATTCTTTTACAAGCTCGAGGTTTAACGTTTGCGCGCGCGCCTGCGCGCTTTGGGTTTTGTTTGAGTTTTTTACTATTTCTTATCTTGTGCAAGCACAAGAGCTCCGACTCTGAAACCAGACTGCCTGAATTTGAATCCCGTTTCCAGCCATGACTAGCTGGGCGGGCGAGTTACTTTGCTCTCTGTGCCTCCGTTTCCCCAACGGTAAAATGGAGCTACTAACGGAACTTGCCTGTTGTAAGAATTATAATAATATGCAGTGTATAATGTATATCTGTGGGGCGGGGCGAAGGGGTGTGTTTGCAACGTGGCAGGCGCGTAGATAGTAAGGGTTATATGAGTCGTAGCTTTTTCTTTCTCCAGAGGGACTTAGAAACTTTCCCCCTGAAGTAGCATTTGTGTTATGGTCATCTTTGCTTGGGACACTGGTCACAGGAACTGTCAGTGGGATAGGGGTCTGGAAGTGCCACTAGCTGGCTTGTCTGTGGAAAAGTACCATATCTATTTTGAAAAACAGTACATCCAAAAGCATCAGAAATTGAATCCAGCAAGTCACAATTTGCTGAAGTTCAGGCAAAGTGTTGTGTGGAGTGCATCCTATCGTTATTTCAGACTCTTACACCTTTGCCCAGCTGCTGTACCCTGCTAAGGATACCTGATTCTTACCAAATGCTATTTGTATGATTATTCCTCTGGGTGTGTACACACGCATCTGCGTATGTGGGTGTTTATGTGTATCTCTTCTCTCCAATTATGTTATAAAAGTTCCCTGAAGGCAGGGACTGCTTTAATACCCTCTTAGTGTTGCTGTACTCAGGACGGTGCCTCGCAATCATTCAACTGATGATCGCCAGAGAGACTCAAGAAAATGTAGGTTGGTTGTAAATTGTTTTTTCATTAACACACTTTCTAACTAACTTAATGGTACTCATTTAATCTCTGCAACAAATAGAATCAAGTCAATGTTTACCCAAAAAAAACAAAAACAAGAGTTCCCTTGCCACTCTCCATTGACCTCCCCATTGCTGTCCCTCACAGACATAAAAGGACTTTAACTACAACCATGATTCATAATTGACAAGACTGTATATTAGATCTACAAATGGAATTATTGGGGCCGGCCTGTGGTGTAGTGCTTAAGTTCCTGTGCTCCACTTCGGGGGCCCTGGGGTTTGTGGGTTGGGATTCTAGGCCTGGACCTACACACCACTCATCAAGCCATGCTGTGGCAGCATCCCATATGCAAAATAGAGGAGGATGGGCACAGATGTTAGCTCAGGGCCAATCTTCCTCAGCAAAAAGAGGAAGATTGGTAACGAATGTTAGCTCAGGGCCCATCATCCTCACTAAAAAAAATAATAATAAAAATAAAAAATAAAAATGGAATTATGTTCAGGTGTTCATCAGCACACAAATCAATTCTATTCAGGTCACCTATTCTTTATGCCTACTGTGTGCCAGCCACTGTACTTGATAACACAGAAACTAATTTTTCTCCGTAATTTTAGTAAGGCACTAAGGAATAATGACAGATCCTGCACGCCAAATGCCACTCACCCATGTCCTCTGTCAGTGTCTCATTCTATTCATTTCTAGGCAAGCTTCTTGCTTTCTAGCTCTGAATTAGATTCCTTCTGTCTGGGTAGAGCCTATTATTGTGGCCTGGGTTATGTCACACATCGACAACTATATTTATATAGTTGAGGGGGAAAAAAAAGCTGAAACATGTTTTTACACACTACTAATAAATCTTGTTAGAGCAGACCAACAAGTCGCTCTAGCTCCAAACCTCCCCACCTGCCCACCCCCCTCCCCACCAAATGCTACTCAGGGCTGGCTCATTAGTCCAAACCAAACCATTTGCCATAACAGCTTGTACATCTCCATGAAAAAGTGTTCCCAGCAAGTTTAAATATTAAAACTAATGTATTCAAATGGTTCTGCCAATAAAATGGTCACAAATAGGAAAAAAGGTTATGCTTTCCAAAGTATCTATTTCACATTAATAAATAATGCTGTTCATTCACGGGCCAATTAAAACAAACTCGGGCTGTCAAATGAAGTTAGAAGCAAGCAGCTCAATGCAGTAATTGTTTTTCCAGGAAAACTCCCACTGTTGTCAGATTAGATGTGACTGGTTGGGTTGTCCCTATTCTCTTCTTAACCCAACAGCCAGGTTTTCTCCTCTCCAGCCTAGTCCTCCAGCTTTCCTTTCCTCTTGAGTCTTTGTTTTGGTTGCAGATACTCGAGAGGCAGTTGAAGGTAATCACTCACTGCTCACTGCTCCTTTCTGTCGCCCACAGGATCTCACTTTGCCCACTGTTTTGATTTTAATTTGTCTTTCTTTTTCAAGCAGATCCTGGTGCTTCGTCCTGCACTAATGCTACTTTGCGATCTCCTTTCTAGTATTGTTCAGCCATAGTTAGTTCTTTTGCTTTGCTCCAGAGGCCTCTGTCTTCTCAGAAGTCCTGCTAACTGACACTCAGAAAGTGTGGCACTAAAGGGGGAGTGGATCTGCTGCCCAAGGATCTGGAGAGTAAGACACAGTTGCCGGCATGAAAAAGAGTCTCAACTGAATACATCACAGCTGTGTGGCTTATGCTTCAAGACATTCCTGGGCAGAGCCAGGAAGGGTCCCTCAGATCACACAGTCTGACGCTTTGCCCTTGGGCAGAACAGCTCCCAAGAGACCCCCTCCAAAGACTCAGTATCATTCTACAAATGCCTTATCCAGCAGTGAACATTCTATTGCAGCCAAGCGAAGTAAGGAAGATCAATTGCATGTTTTGCTATAGAGCAAAGCAACAAAATGATGCCTTACAGCTTTTATGGCCAAACAAACACAAATGATGTAATTGGGAAACGCTGTCTCCGAAAAGGAGGGAAAAAAATAAAGGGCAATCCTTTGAGTTGGGGTGATGACCACCATTTGAGGGTCTGGGATCAAAGCTCCAGCCAGACATCAAAGCCCGTTTGAGTCTAATGTCAAAAGAGCCACAGTGAATTAAACTTCATATATAAACTAATTATAACTTGACCCCGCAATCAGGCCTCAGCAAGCACATAGGGGAAAGAAAGCAGACATTGAAACAAAAGATCAAGAAAAAGGAAAGTTAGTAGCAAAACCGGGCAACATCTTGGCCCTGACCACTTTAAAAAATCTTTTGAGGGCAGAGGGGAGTCAGGGAACGGCGGGGGAAACAGCAAACGTGGACAATGCTGGTCTTGTTTGCGAAGCTATGAAACAGCTCCTTCTACCCTCACTGACTCGTGCACAGCCAAACGCACCCTTATTCGTGGAAAAAACGTCATATTTTAGCTCCGTTTTAGCGTTGTTGAAGAGGTTCCCTGTCACCAGATTTCTGTTGAAGAAGCACAAGGTGATTCCATGAAGTTTGGGGGTGAGTTCTTCAGGAAGCCCAGGCTCCTCATACAGAGCACCTCGAGTTCCAAAGACTCAAATCTGCCTGGGAGTGACTTGCATTCCTCACATCTTAATCACTGATGTCTCCACAACCTCAGACTTCAGTTCTTCAGCTCTGCCATTTCTGCTGGTCATCTTTACAGACAGAAGGTGCAGCGTACCAAGGGTGCAAATACCCTAGAACATACCCTGGCACTAACACCACAAAACGAATACGATGGATTCATCCCCAAGCAAAATTTAAAAGTGTTTCAGAGACAAGTAGCTTTAAACAATTGCATTCAGTGGATTTTGCCCTTACTCTGCTTTATTGGTACTGGTCCTCAATTATTTGAAATTCTCGATCTCATGAACTAGCAAACTATTGCACATCTGATTTGACAATCCATGGAACATTTTCAATCATATTTCTTTATAGATAAACGTGAGTGATTTCTTAAT